AGTAGTAGTAGAAGTAGTAGTAGTAGTAGTAGTAGTAGTAGTAAATGCAGTAGTAGTAGTAGTAGTAGTAGTAGTAGTAGTGGTAGTAGTAGTTGTAGTAGTAGTAGTAGTAGTAGTAGTAAAAGTAGTTGGAGGATGAGGAGTTGGAGTAGGCGTGGGAGTAGGAGTAGGAGTAGGAGGAGGAGGAGGAGTAATAGGAGTAGTAGCAGTAGCAGTAGCAGTAGCAGCACCTACTGGTAGCAGCAGCAGCAGTAGCAGCAGCAGCAGCAGTAGCAGTAGCAGTAGCAGTTGCAGTAGTAGCTGTAGTAGCAGCAGCAGGAGCAGTAGTCGTGGATGGATGAGGAGCAGCAGCAGCAGAGTGGTAGGAGGAGCAAGAGAAGCAGCAGTTGTAGTTGCTGCTGCCACCCTGTTCAATCAAAACGCCGGCCTGATCTAGGGTGAAGCTCCACAAACTGTGGGATCAAAACTCCCACGTGTCTGAGCCCACATCTCGCACAAGACTTGCGGATTGCTTCAGACATCTGGGGCTCTCAACGTCCAATCCTTGTCTCACAGCCGAGGCTGTTCACAGGGCTCAACCGTGATCATGACCTCGTGTCCCCAAGACGCTCGAGCTCAGACCTGACTGTCTTTGTCGCGTTTTGTGGCGGTCAGTGCAGTGGTCCGATGTCAGGATGAGTGAAACTGGATGCATGGTGCACTAATTTTGGAGACACCTTGCTACTCTTCGAACAAGAGTGCCAGAAAGATATACAATTGAAGAAAATGCGGGCCAGCTGTTGCAAAATCATATTTATGACGACATACTCATACTCATGCACATGAATGCACCGTTGCCTTCAAGCCAACGGGGCTAATCTTGCTAAAGAAACGTATCGACATGCGTACTTCCTCTCTCAAAACATCCCCGCCCTTACTCGAAAACTCGCCTGGCCTACTTTCGGACAGGCACGAACAACTCAAAAGATGCGTCCTCTGTACGCCTTTGGGGCAAGGACTTGCTGTGGGTTGGCCCATCAGACCCCTTGTCTGAAACTGCCCCGAGACAGCTCGATGCAGTCTGCCTCGGGGAGCAAAAAAACATCATCGAAATCCGTACAGGTCAGACTCAAGTACTCTCCATGATCGTCGATGGCGTTCGTTGCGTCTAGAGTCTAGATGGAAACGGATACTTTGTGGAAGCATCGAGGCCAAGCATGTACTTATGCTTGATCAATGGCTTACTCACCTGTTTGACACGCTTTCATGCAGTTTGACTGTCCCATGTCCTGTCAGAACGTCCTTGGTGCATGCAGGCTTTGCTCAGGTCTGGAACCACTCACGGAGCAGCCTGGGCACGAAGGAAACTTGAAATCTTGCCTCCATCCTGGGGCGTGCCAGTGATTAGATTACGAGACTGGAAGCAACTGGCAGTTTGGGGTGTACCAATCTGCTCATTGCACGATGCCAACGAGATGCGCCTTTGCAGCCCGGTGGCCATGTACACGCTTTTTGCCTTTCCCTTTGAATTTGGTGTGCGTGGACAGTCCTTGGTTAGGGATCCGGCTTCAGGGTGCTTCAGGTGCTTTGAATGGTTTGCCGGGTTCAGTTTCGACTTCGGGAGGGTCGGGAGCAGGCAGTCGATGTTTTCAGTTTGCCGGTCTGGAACCGAGGAGTTCCTCTCTGCGCCTTTGAAAAACTCTCAGTTTCGGAGCCTCAAGGTGCCGGGTTCTGCCTACAGGCACAGCAGACTCTGAAGCCAATCGGAGTGTCTCACTGACCGCCATCCAAGGTGGCGTCCGCTTCGTCCTCCTCCGATTTTCTCAGGCATTTGTGGGTGTGGGGTTGATTGGGCGGCTTCATTGCGGCTTGAGGGTTTCGGGTTGATGAAATGAAAGGTTCAGGGGTGTGCTCGAAACTTTCCAAGTGTTGTGAGACTCCTCAAGTGACAAGTCCAAGCACAGTGTCTTCATAGGTTCACTACAAGTAAAGGCTTTGGCTTCGCCTTTGGAGTGTAGAGAGGACCCCTTTCCAGTAGGCAATCCTGCCAAGGAATGCCATGGTGGCTGAGTCAGAGGAGCCAGGGCAGAAAGCTAGGCAAGGTCTCACAGGACGGTCTGCAAGTGAAAAGGAGCAGAAGCACAGCTGAGGGTTCAGGGACCGTAGTGTTTTAGCATAGCTGACGTTTGCCGTCAGACCTCTTGGCTTCTACGGCCGATGTCACGAAGGATGCAGGCCTGTTTGCATGCGAGCACTCGGCAGGATTTATCGGCAGGCACATGACTTTGCAAGTCCCGAACCCCAATCTTCACCGGGCGTTTCTCGAAGAAAGACACGCCCAAAAGCGGAAGATCCGACGGATGTCAAACAAGGGTCGCCAGAACGAAGGCACCATCCGATGGCCCACCCTCCTCCCGAAGCCCAAACTAGAAAGCCCAAGCCGGGTCCTTTGCTCGCTTAAGGGCATCTTGCACATCCGCCAAAGAGATCATGGGAGGCGCGGTCATGGCGGCCCCATCCTCATTGGCTTCCTTGGCCTTTTCGAAACTCTTCTTCAGGTCCGCATTCCTGAGTTACAAATGGCATCTGGCCAGCTCGGATTTCGGATTCTGGGCTCTGGCGCTGTTGCTGAAGCACAGTCTGAGAAAATCCATGGCTCAGTTGTCTCACAATCTCCTCCTCCGGCACACCCTGGTCCTGAACAAGTTCCCACATAAAATCTTAGCACTCAAGTCTACCCCTCCCCCATCCCCCCCCCCTCGAAACTTGGAACTCTGCGACAGACTCTCACAGCTGCAACCTATAAACCCTGAAAGTGTTCCCGCTCATAACTGCATAAGAAAATGCCCTGCACGAGGTTCAGCCTTGCGATGTTTTTGGAAAGTTGCCGTGTACACTTGCAAAGCAAAATTGAACGTAAAAGGCACGCACCATCACAAACCTGTGCTCCATATCTCACAACCCTGTGAATGGATGCATGCATGTGTCAGACATGCAACTAGACAAATCAAAATGCATGTGCACACTTTTTGCTTTAAATATGTTGGTTTCGTCGAGAGTGACGTGCAGCTCTTTGCTTACAGTTCCTCAATTCCGCACGCATAATTGTGCAAAGACTTGCCTGCTACATGATGCTAGGAACGATGCTTCACAGTTACGCCGTGTGAGAGGCAATACACCCAGCTTGGCACACAACACGGCTGTGCCCACTGCACCTGACAGGATAGAGCAAGAAAAAATATCACTCTAGGACTCTCGGATGCAACAATGAAAGGCATGCTGTTGATAAACGGGTATGCTTCACACATAACAGGCACAACATGCCCCCGAATGCCTCTGTGACATATGCGTGTAGCAGAAACACCGGCATGCAGACCCGTAAACACATGTATGTGTCCACAAGTCTGTCAAAACACAGACCGCAACACAGACCTATGTTTGCAGCAAAATGCAGTAGGCTGTTCGTGTAATTAGCTCTAGACGCTTCCACACGGCTTTTGCATTCATGTGTTTCGTGCAACGCCAGGTCCTTCATGAGTTTGGCCCGGGCTAGCAGCTCCTTGTGCTCAACGTGCACCACGTCCCGGATCTTTGGCTTGCCTGGGAATCGTCAAACTCTGCATCCTGAAGACAAAACTTTGGGCCTAAACTTACCGCTCAAGTGCTTGGGTCTGGCAGGAGTCAAGGGCTTGAAGCGGGGGGAGCTTGAAGTTTCTCTGACCTGAGTGTCTCGTTGGGGCTGCGGCCTCATCGCAAGATGTAACTCACCAAAATCAAAACCTAACGGGCAGTGTGTGCCTTTGCCATGCAGTGGCGCTGACAAAAGACTTCGAACCCTGCGACCCTCAACATCTACAACCCTAAGGAGCTGAGCACATTCGGCGTAACAGTGTTCAGGGATCAAACTCTTTCTTCGGTCACAGATGCTTGGGGCCAGAAGGACACACTCTTCGTCGACCTCCTCCTGGCGGTTAAATGTAGGTAAGTTTGGCTGCCAGATGACAAGTTCCAGAAGAAGAAGCTGCCACTGTTCTTGCGGAAAGGTTCTCAAGCGAAGGCTTCAGTTCAAGCAAGGCTCACACGCGTGTGTAGCCAGTTCACGAAGGCTGCTAATAAGTTCATGTATGGCACTGAGAGTCCAGACTCTCAAGTCTCGACAGGGTCAGCGAGGCCAAGTGAACACAGCTTTGTTTCAGAAGTGCATCCGATTTGAGAGGTTTCACTGTTTC